GCTTCATTAATTACTGTTGCTAAACTCTCTGCTGGTCCCTTATCATGAGAAATTAAATCTGACGGCCGTAATAATGATTTAAACGCGGTTGCTACCGAATGTATCATAAGTAACGATGACAAATCGGCAGCTTTACTTTGTCCTGACACTAACATTCTAAAAATATATCATTATTTGATATGAAGCAACGTAAAATCAACATGAAAATTTATTTAAGAAATAACATGAAACCTGTACAATGATATTTTGATGCAAAGAAATTGAATATAATGATACTGTTGTATAGGCTGCAATTGTCTATTAAAGGAAACATCCAGCCTATCGCACAATGGCTCGATCATCGAAGATCTTAAACACAAGAGTACGTCCAACCAATCTAATCCTGTTACTAAACAATATTCTAATAATGTACAAGCATAACTTAATGTTAATGATGGTCCTATAAGAAAGTTTTTTTAATATAATCTTTATCTTACCTAAGATACTTACTTTTCTAAGATAATTTTTTTTTTTTATATAAATTTTTAGATCAAAAAATAAATTACCTCCATCAGGTAGTAATTTATACAAATACAAATTTCCGCGTGTATCACAAGCTAAAAGTACACAACCAAGCCAAGATATATCTATATTGGTTATCGAAACCGAACTTTTAAAATATTTGTTATTAGGTTCATCAGGTCGCCATGCCATATTTAAAGAAGAAAACGATATTTCCTTTAAACAATCACGACTTAAACAATGTATCGATGAATCCGCTAAAGCTACTATAACATAACTTGGAGGAGGTAATGTGGTAACTATAGATAATTTTGTAGTCGCTATCGCTGCAATCGGAGACGAACAACGATATTGCGATTGATGCTGCCATACCTATAAATATGTATTAAAAATATATATCATTAAGTTGAAATTATTTAAATTTGTTGTATGGAAAACAATTAAAACTTTAAATTGGAAAACACATACTACTACAGTTTTAAATGGTTCTAACGTTTTAGGTTGAAATAATTTGTGAACTGGCTGTGATTTTTCTCTTAATTCCCATACTTCCACTATACCACCATTATCACTATTTACAGCTATGACTAAGGAATCTGCATCCTCTCTGACTACAAACTTCAAATGTGTTACACTTGTATCTAAGAAAAAAACTTTATTATTTGTCATATATTACACAATATATGATTAAAAAAAGATTATTTAATCATACATGTATTGTCTTTTGGTGCACCATCTTGTAGAAAAAAACTAGGCAATGCTTGTGAAGTTATAGTACATTTGTCATCATTTTTACGTACTAATACTCTATAACATCTAATTGGTAAATAAATATTTCCACTACTTATAGCTACTAAAATATGACCATCTAAAAGTT